GACGCATGCTTTGTTGCAGTAGCCAATACCGCGGCCAATGTCTAGACTAGAGGTCGTGGCACGATCTTGAGAGGGGCAGAGGCTGGCTAGGCTGGACAAGAGTCCGTATGCGCATAGGTCCGAGGCACGCGGGAAAACTGCTTTCGCGCGAAGTCTTATGCTCTAAGTGACGTCGTCCGTGGTGTCAATATTTAGGAGGGCGTCGGGCAGATGCGACAAATACACGTTCGTCATACTCAAGAGGGACCATGTACAAGCTTCCAGGGCATTATTAATATCTATCTTTCCGGGCATCCAGTTTACCATGGAAAAAGAAATGAACAACCAGCTGCCCTTCCTTGACGTCCAAGTTACAAAACTGTCAAATAGAAATATAGCGACGACGGTCATCCGAAAGGCAACCAACAAAAGGCGCATCCTCCACTTCCGAAGCAACCACCCTGTTGGCCACAAACGCAGCTGTGTCAGAAACCTCTACCGACGTGTTCAGACACATTGTAGCGACGACAGTGGGATGCAGTAACAGACGAATTATTTGCATGTCCTCTTCAAAGCCAACGGTTATCCGAAGTCCTCTATCCGCAAGTGCCTCAGGAAGCCTTATTCTCCACGGTCACGTGAAAACCAGCCAAAGTTCTGGCTCGCAATCCCCTATGTGGGAACTTTCCAGAGGTGACAGCGCGACTCCTAAAACCTTTCGAGATCGGCGTGGTTCATTGGCATGAATCCACCGTCAGACAACAAGTCCTGAAGCCCAAGGACCCGCTGCTAGTGACCGAACAATCAGCAGTGGTCTACAGCATACCGTGCAAACATTGCGATGCCACGTATCTTGGTGACACAGGCAGACGTTTGGGTACAAGATTGCATGAACACCAACTTGCAATCAAACGAAAAGAAAAGCTGTCGTTGGTCTTCAATCACGTTCAGCAGCTTAATCACAACTTCGCTTTATTAAAAAGCGAGGGTGATCGGCAGAGTCAGCGAGAAAATGGCCAGCCTATCCTTCGAAAGTTGGTCCTCAACGGGCACACTAAACCGACCTATCGATTTAAATCCCGTCTACCAAGTGCTCCGTAATAGGCTCACATCCACTCAAAACGTAGCGAAAAAAGTCACGCAGGGCCAA